ATTCCAGGAAGCTGAGCCGTCCCAATTAGTCCAACAAAAGCATCTAGCCCAGCAACTGTGGAAGGCCAGTGAAGTGGCTGTTAAACTTCAACCCCACGAGAAGCACTACTAGCTAGCTGTTTACTAGCCCAGCTAGCTCTTTACTAGCCCAGCTAGCTCTTTACTAGCCCAGCTAGGTCTTTACTAGCCCAGCTAGCTCTTTACTAGCCCAGCTAGGTTTTTACTAGTCCAGCTATCTCTTTACAAGACCGATTAGGTCTTTACTAGCCCGGCAAGCTCTTTAGTAGCCCAGCTAGCCCTTTACTACCTCAGTAAGTCTTTAATAACCCAAGTAGCTCTTTACTATTCAAATTAGCTCTTTACTAGCCTAGCTACCTCTTTACTAGCCCGGCTTATCTTTACTAGCCCAACTAACTCTATACTCTCCCAGCACTGTCTTTACATGCACAGTTAGCTCTCTACTAACCCAGCTAGGTCTTTATTAGCCCAGCTTGCTCTATGCTAGCCCAGCTAGATTTTAACTAGCCTAACTACCTCTTTACTAGCCCAGCTAGCTGTATACTAACCCAACTAGGTCTTTACCAGCCAGGCTAGTTCTTTTCTAGCCCAAAGAGATTTTTCTAGCCCAGCTCCCTCTTAATTAGCCCATCTAGCTCTATACTATCCCAGATAAGATTTTACTAGAACATAAGAATGGAGAAACACTGCAGAAGGCCTACTGGCCCATACTAGGCAGGTCTTTCTCAAAACCATCCAGTCCCACCCTTTTATTTGCTTAACCTTTTCACAAAGCTATTCAGGGTCCTAGTTTCTATTAGCTCACTAGGTAGATTGTTTCATCACCTAGTCAACAACTAGCACAACATTCTCTACCTTCTAGCTAGCTACTAGTACAGTAATATACATTCTAGCCAGATACTAGCACAGTAGTCACTACCTTCTAGCCAGCTACTAACATAGTAGTATTTACCTTCCAGCTAGCTACTAGCACAGTAGTCACTACCTTCTAGTCAGCTACTAGCACAGTACATTATAAGAGTACAAATGCAAAATGAGTTATGCAATAATTTAATATCTAGTTGATTAGTGATTTGCATATTCCTAAATTAATGCACAGAGACACAGAGAAAGACAGACAGATAGAGAGACAGACAGATAGAGAGACAGAGAGCGAGAGAGAGAGAGAGAGAGAGAGAGAGAGAGAGAGAGAGAGAGAGAGAGAGAGAGAGAGAGAGAGAGAGAGAGAGAGAGAGAGAGAGAGAGAGAGAGAGAGAGAGAGAGAGAGAGAGCTAACTTGTAAAACTGATTTTAATAAAAAATTTGTATCATAATTCCCCTCTGTATAATAAGTAATAACTTGAATAAACATTAAAATAATTAGAAAACAAATTTATTTCAATATCAAAATCTAATTGTTTATTTTTTTTTAATGTAACTTCATTGTCTCTCTTTTGGTTTATACAACGTGACGGAAAAATCTGTATTTTTTATGCATTATAACGACAAAATCTGTATTTTTTATGCATTATAACGACAAAATCTGTATTTTTTATGCATTATAACGACAAAATCTGTATTTTTTTTATGCATTATAACGACAAAATCTGTATTTTTTTTATGCATTATAACGACAAAATCTGTATTTTTTATGCATTATAACGACAAAATCTGTATTTTTTATGCATTATAACGACAAAATCTGTATTTTTTATGCATTATAACGACAAAATCTGTATTTTTTATGCATTATAACGACAAAATCTGTATTTTTTATGCATTATAACGACAAAATCTGTATTTTTTTATGCATTATAACGACAAAATCTGTATTTTTTATGCATTATAACGTCAAAATCTGTAATTTTTATGCAACATTAGGTAAAAAAAAATCTCCTTTTTTATAACATGATGTCAAAAATCTGTATTTTTATGCAACATTATGTAAAAAATGTATAAAAAATGCATTTTTTATACAATATGACGTAAAATGTGAATTGGATGCAACATGACGTAAAAAATACTGAATGCAACTTGATCAGACATATATAACAAGAATGGCACTGCAATGGAGCAGAGAATACCTGACAGGGAGGCAACAACGAGTCATGGTACGTGATGAGGTATCACAGTGGGCGCCTGTGACGAGCGGGGTCCCACAGAGGTCGGTCCTAGGACCAGTGCTATTTTTGGTATATGTGAATGACATGATGGAAGGGATAGACTCAGAAGTGTCCCTGTTTGCAGACGATGTGAAGTTAATGAGGAGAATTATATTAAATGAGGATCAGGCAGGAGTTCAAAGAGACCTGGACAGACTGGACACCTGGTCCAGCAACTGGCTTCTCGAATTTAACCCTGCCAAATGCAAAGCCATGAAGATCGGGGAAGGGCAAAGAAGACCGCAGACAGAGTATAGGCTAGGCGGCCAAAGACAGCAAAACTCACTCAAATAAAAGGATCTTGGGGTGAGTATAATACCGAGCACATCTCCTGAAGTGCACATCAACCAGATAACTGCTGCAGCATATGGGCGCTTGGCAAGCCTGAGAGTAGCTTTCCCATACCTCACTAAGGAATCGCTCAAGATTCTGTACACCATGTACGTCAGGCCCATACTGGAGTACGCAGCACCAGTTTGGAACCCACACCTAGTCAAGCAGGTCAAGAAATTAGAGAAAGTGCAAAGGTTTCCAACATGGCTACCCCAGAGCTAAAGGGATTGTCCTACGAAGAAAGGTTAAAGGAAATGGGCCTGACGACACTGGAGGACAGGAGGGTTAGGGGAGACATGATAACGACATACAAAATACTGCGAGGAATTGACAAGGTGGACAGAGACAGGATGTTCCAGAGATGGGACACAGAAACAAGGGGTCACAATTGGAAGTTGAAGACTCAGATGAGTCAGTGAGATGTTAGGAGGTATTTCTGTAGTCATAGAGATGTCGGGAAGTGGAATAGTCTGGCAAGGGATGTAATGGAGGCAGAAACCATACATAGTTTTAAGACGAGATATGATAAAGCTCATGGAGCAGGGAGAGAGAGGACCTAGTAGCGATCAGTGAAGACGGGGCCAGCAGCTATGTCTCGACCCTTGCAACCACAAATAGATGAGTACACACACACACACACACACACACACACACACAATCTTATCTCCAAGCCGAATATATATATATATATATATATATATTATATATATATATATATATATATATATATATATATTTATATATATATATATATATATTATATATATATATATATATAATATATATATATATACTATATATATAATATATATATATATATATATATTATATATATATATATATATATAAATATATATATATACATATATATATATATATATATATATATATATATATATATATATATATATAATATATATATATATATATATATATATATATATATAATATATATTGTAGGTAGTAGGTTGGTAGACAGCAACCACCCAGGGAAGTACTACCGTCCTGCAGATGACTGTGAAACAAAAACCTGTAATTGTTTTGCATGATGGTAGGATTGCTGGTTTCTTTTTCTGTCTCATAAACACGCTAAGATAACAGGGATATCTTGCTACTCCTACTTACACTTTGGTCACACTTCACAGACACGCACATGCATATATATATATATATACATACATTTTGGGTTTTTTCTCCTTTTTCTAAATAGCTCTTGTTCTTTTATTTCTTCTATTGTCCATGGGGAAGTGGAAAAAAATCTTTCCTCCGTAAGCCATGCGTGTCGAAATGAGGCGACTAAATGCCGGGAGCAATGGGCTAGTAACCCCTTTCTCCTGTATAAAATTACTAAAAAGAGAAGAAGAAAAACTTATAAAACTGGGTTGCTTAAATGTGCGTGGATGTAGTGCGGGATGACAAAAAAAAGGGATGATTGCTGATGTTATGAATGAAAAGAAAGTTGGATGTCCTGGCCCTAAGCGAAACAAAGCTGAAAGGGGGTAGGAGAGTTTTCAGTGGGGGGAAAAAAGGGGATTAAATCTGGAGTATCTGAGAGGAGTTAGAGCAAAGGAAGGGGGTAGCAGTAATGTTAAATGATCGGGTTATGGAAGGAAAAGAGAATATAAAATGTGTTAAATTTCAAGAATTATGTGGTTAAAGTAAAGGTTGGATGCGAGAAGTGGGTCATAATAAGCGGTATGCACTGGAGAAGAGGGGTAATGCAGAGAGAGAGAGAGATTTTTGGGAGATGTTAAGTAAAATGTATAGGAGGCCTTTGGAACCAAGTGAGAGAGTAATTGTGGTAGGGGACTTGAATGGCAAAAGTAGGAGAAACTTTAGAGAGGGTGTGGTGGGTAAGTTTGGGGTGCCAGGTGTAAATGATAATGGGACCCCTTTGAATGAACTTTGTATAGAAAGGGGTTTAGTTATAGGTAATACAATTTTTAAGAAAAAGAGGATAAATAAGTATACACGATATGATGTAGGGCGAAAGGGACAGTAGTTTGTTGGATTATGTATTGGTAGATAAAAAGACTGTTGAGTAGACTTCAGGATGTACATGTTTAAAAGAGGGGCCACAGATATATCAGATCACTTTCTAGTTTAGCTACACTGAGAGTAAAAGGTAGATGGGATAAAAGGGAGAAATAGAAGCATCAGGGAAGAGAGAGTGAAGGTTTATAAACTAAAAGAGGAGCAGTTAGGGTAAGATATAAACAGCTATTGGAGGATAGATGGGCTAATGGAGCATAGGCAATGGGGTCGAAGAGGTATGGGGTAGGTTTAAAAATGTAGTGTTAGAGTGTTCAGCGAATTTTGTGGTTAACAGGAAAGTGGGTGCAGGAGGGAAGAGGAGCGATTGGTGGAATGATGATGTAAAGAGAGTAGTAAGGGAGAAAAAGTTAGCATATGAGAAGTTTTTACAAAGTAGAAGTGATGCAAGGGGGGAAGGGAGTATATGGAAAAAAAGAGAGAAGTTAAGAGAGTGGTGAAGCAATGTAAAAAGAGAGCAAATGAGAGAGTGGGTGAGATGTTATCAACAAATTTTGTTGAAAATAAGAAAAAGTTTTGGAGTGAGATTAACAGTTAAGAAAGCCTAGAGAACAAATGGATTTGTCAGTTAAAAATAGGAGAGGAGAGTTATTAAATGGAGAGTTAGAGGTATTGGGAAGATGGAAGGAATATTTTGAGGAATTGTTAAATGTTGATGAAGATAGGGAAGCTGTGATTTCGTGTATAGGGCAAGGAGGAAAACATCTTGTAGGAGTGAGGAAGAGCCAGTTGTGAGTGTGGGGGAAGTCGTGAGGCAGTAGGTAAAATGAAAGGGGGTAAGGCAGCCGGGATTGATGGGATAAAGATAGAAATGTTAAAAGCAGGTGGGATTAGTTTTGGAGTGGTTGGTGCAATTATTTAATAAATGTATGGAAGAGGGTAAGGTACCTAGGGATTGGCAGAGAGCATGCATAGTTCCTTTGTATAAAGGCAAAGGGGATAAAAGAGAGTGCAAAAAATTATAGGGGGATAAGTTGTTGAGTGTACCTGGTAAAGTGTATGGTAGATTTATAATTGAAAGAATTAAGAGTAAGACGGAGAATAGGATAGCAGATGAACAAGGAGGCTTTAGGAAAGGAAAGGGGGTGTGGGACCAGGTGTTTACAGTGAAACATATAAGTGAACGTATTTAGTTTAAGGCTAAAGAGGTTTCTTTGTGGCATTTATGGATTTGGAAAAGGCGTAGACAGGATGGATAGGGGGGCAATGTGGCAGATGTTGCAAGTGTATGGGGGTAGGAGGTAGGTTACTGAAAGCAGTGGAAGAGTTTTTAACGAGGATAGTGAGGCTCAAGTTAGAGTTTTGTAGGAAAGGGGGAAATTTTTTTCCCAGTAAAAGTAGGCCTTAGACAAGGATGTGTGATGCCCACCGTGGTTGTTTAATATTTTATAGATGGGGGGGTTGTAAGAGAAGTAAATGCGAGGGTCTTGGCAAGAGGCGTGGAGTTAAAGATAAAGAATCACACACAAAGTGGGAGTTGTCACAGCTGCTTTTTGCTGATGACACTGTGCTCTTGGGAGATTCTGAAGAGAAGTTGCAGAGATCGGTGGATGAATTTGGTAGGGTGTGCAAAAGAAGAAAATTAAAGGTGAATAAAAGGAAAGAGTAAGGTTATGAGGATAACAAAAAGATTAGGTGATGAAAGATTGAATATCAGATTGGGGGGAGGAGTATGGAGGAGGTGAACGTATCAGATATTTGGGAGTGGACGGTCAGCGGATGGGTCTATGAAAGATGAGTGTGAA